CAAGGAGGGAGCTCTGTGGAGAAAGCCTGCTGACACCTGCACTTCTGCTGTGGCTGCTTCTGAGTCCGGGGCCAGCTACGTCTCAGGTGTGTGGCACCAAGGGGACCCCTTTTCTCCAAGCCCACCTGAGCCCCATGGGAGTCCTGACTCCAGGAAGGTCTGATGAAAGGCTGGGCTCACCCATTGCTGCTTTACCTCATGTTAATGGTGAATCCAAGGAGTTTCTACCTCTCCAGACCTTCGTGGGCCTGTCATAAGGAGGGGGCTTTTTCTGCCGGCCTGGTGTTGAAGCAGCGCTGGTAGGAACAGCGAGGCCAGCTTGCTCCAGTGTCCCTTCCTCCTCTCTCTCCTGTGGCTGCTGGTGCTGCAGCTGTCCCGTGTTGAAATTAACTCTACTGGTCCTTGTGGCATTTCAGCAAGGACTGTTTCTGGGATGCGTGATAATGTTTAGTCATTACAATCAAACAAACCTAACTCTGAGGACTTGAACTTGGGTCACCTGTGTGGCAACAACACATCCATTTTTTGAGGAAAACTGAAAATTGCCTAAAGCTTTGCAGTTTTCCAAAATAATGCTGTATGGGCTAAATTTAAGCGTCCTTTTCTCCTACTTCACTTGTTTTTCGCTTTAGAGTGAGTAAAACTATACGTGACTGTGGTAACAATAGCTGGTTATAGAAGCATATGTCTGTACAGGCTTCTGTTTACTACATGACAAGTTTTGCTCTGAAATACCAAAGAGCTGCAGTTCTGGTCATTCCCCGTTACATTGTATGATTTCTGTCCGGCAATAACTTCCACCCTTTCCCCTGACCCACCCCAGTTAGCCCATCTGTGTGACACATCAGCTCACATATCACTGTAATGCTTTGCTATGTTGACCAAAGAAGCTGACCTCATGTGTTTCTGTTGGTTTTGTTCTTTGCCTTAGCTTGGCTTTGGATCTTTCCTAGGGATCGTTGGCATCCACCTGGTAGAGAACAGAAGACAAATGGTAAGCAACAGCCCTTTTTGTTTTCATTTTCACTTATCAGAATGTCTTAAAAACACAAAAAGCAAGGATTTCCAGTTGACTTAGAACTGCTGCATCTGTCTCAAAGTGTTAGTCGTTTGCCTCACCTTTTCTGGGAAGTTTTAGAGAAACCTGAATTGGCCGGTGACTCTCTCTGTACAGCGCAAGGGATAGTTTCACTTCTGATAGGAGCAGCCTGCTTTTTTTAAACTCAGTTACTTTCCTGCTTGTTTAGTGAGTTGAATCGACCCGGGGAGGGCGAGATGAGTGCCAGAGCTCGGCCAGGACCATGTAGCTGGGATGAGGATGGGGAGAGAGACAAAATGCATGGGTTGTGCCTGTTTGGGCAGCAATGAGCCATGCGATCAGCTCAACCGTAACAGACGATCTCATCCTGCGCAACAAGTTGAAGTCAAGAACCCTTTCCTGAAACTATACGTTTTTAAAAGAAGAAAAAACCCCAGAGCTCTTGCTATCAATATTCCCTGTCTAGGTCAGACAGGATCTGATGACACTTCGTGGTTTGTTTTTAGATTTAGCTTGGCTTTGCAAATGCCTGGCTTTTATTTGCATGAGGAAGTTATAGAACGTCCTTGGGGCATCTGGGTGAAGGAAGGTGTGTAGGACTAGATTTGTGGAAAGTCCTGCAGTTTGCTTGCTCTCAGCAAAAAATAGCAGTGTCTTGGTTGAATAACAGCATGTTCAATGTGCACTTTACAGTAGACTGATTATAGCCAAACATTGTGAAATATGATTAATTTCATAATTCAGAGCCTTCAGTGTTATAAATCAAAAGTGGTGTTAAGCTCAGAGGAGGAAGTGGTAGGTTTACCTTGCATTTTACTAACAAATAACTGCTTTACTTACAAGTAGTCTGTTGTGATTTTCTGTTTTCTTCCTTGTAAGCGCAGTCATCTTGTCACTATTTGTAGGCAAACTTCTTTCATAATATCACTTTTTTTTGCATTGCCTTTAAGTTTCAGTGATGTATTTGCAAGTGTACCCCTGCTTTTAACTTTTGTTTCTAGCTGGGTTTCCCAGAGGTTTGAGATTTATAAAGCCATGATATTTGTTTGTGTTTCTCTGTTCTCAATTCCATTTTTTGAACGTGTTGACCAATTTGAGGCAAATTCAGCAGGGAGGTAGAGACTTCAAAGCGTGCAGTTCCTTCAAGTTTTATGAGAATTCACAGGTGGAGAATTATTAATTAGTTCCCCCGTGCTGCTAAAGGCCGCAATGTCAGCTCACCTCTTATTAAACACTAGAAAATCGAAATGGTACATGACCTGTGAGACACAAATCTGCGGCAGGCCAGGCCTCATTAATTTTGCTACTAACAAAACATGTTATTGGTTTTTAAGAACTGTTGCCCCTGATTTCTGCATCAGAGACCAGAATGAACAGCAGGTTCCAAGCTGCGGACTCAATGGTGGGCAGATGAAAATAGCTTTGTTCCAAAGCATTCATGCTGCTTGCTAACAGGCATAACGTTTTAGGGTTGTTTTATCTTTCAGTTTTCCTCTAATCTGCCTCTTAGCTTTCTATCGCTTCTGTCCTTAGCAGAAAGTAAAATGTCTGAAAAAGACGTAAGGTGGGTAAGCAGCAGTTAAACCATGTAACACTCAACGTGTTGTGTCATTTACACAAGGACTGTGAAGAAATAAGCATCCAGTATGTTTGATATTAGTGCCTGTTTGCATTTCCCAGCATGGAACAAGGAAAACTGCTTTCTGCTGATAACAGTTAGTGATGATCTGGCTGTTGAAAGATTGGGTTTCTGGGGAACAGACAGAGAAAAAAACTAGAAAGTTTAATTACGCTTCTTGCCTTGAGTACCATCTACATTGGGCTAAGCCTTTTAACAATGTCTTTGATAAGGCTGAGGGGCTTGTTCTCAAACGTTACGGAAATGAGATTGAAAGGGTTTATGTCATACTACAACTGAGGGCAGTAATTATTCCCTAGGGTGTAACTGAGTGTGTTCGATTGAAAGGGTTTAAGACAGCTTTAACAAATTTTCAGTGATCAGTAAGATTGTGAAAACTTACATAAGCACAGAAATGTAACAGAGATGTCATATTCCTGTAACTAAAAATTCTGTGCGTTGCAGCAGGACAAAAGGGAGCGGGAAGGAAAAGAAATTGTTTACCGAGTTGCTTCTATTTTAACTGGACTTCCTTTGAGCACTTAACTGCAGTATAATTTGAATTTAACCCAGTGTAGCTCTGACAGTTGTCTGGCCCTTGTAATGACTCAATACTTAATTTTTGTGTTTTGTTGTTTTTTTTTTTAAATTGAAGATGAATGTAGATTCAATTACACCGGGAAAAAAGTATCTATTTTAAACTGACCTTTTCTCCATAAATCTATTTCTCTTTTTGTCTTGAAATTCTATTTCCTTGTGACCTATCCTCTGTAAGTCCAGATTTATTCATGGTTGATGAAATGCTAAATGCAATATGAAATATGTAATGATGAGCAGAACTAGCACAGCAAAACCCCAGCACTCAATAAATGCAAGCACAGGGTTTGAGAAAGAAAGAAAACACAATTTGGCAGAATGGTTTGTTCTCAAAACACAGCATTAATAATGTTGCACCTCTTTGACTTCATTCTTGGCATCCCAGGGCCCACAGTGGGAGTTCAATGTGCTGACCAAGGTATAACCCTTAATTCAAAGGAACTGCTGCTTGCGGAAGCAGGCTCTGCCTCATTGCCTAGCATGATTTCACTTCAGCTCTTAGCATTTCTGCTTGGCTCTGCTATGTAGAACTTGGCACCAGCAGGGCAAAATTTCTCTTCGACTAAAGATTTGCACTGATTTGGGGTGTTTCTAACTGGCAGACAGCAGAAATGGAAGAATAATATGTTGGTGTCGCTTTTTGCCTCTCTTGCCCCCTGCAAAGCAGGTCATGGATTGAAGAACAGGGTATAGCTGTAGGTGGTTTTGTTCCAAAGACATGCTTAGTCCAGCTGGATAGGTGGAAAATATGATACTACTCAAATCAAATGGATTTTATTGTAAGACATGAAGTGTCCTTGCTTGTTTGCTTGCTTGCCATCTCCTCACATTACAGTACAAAGCATTTCCAGTTAGAAAATGAGATGCTGAAATTGCATACAGAGGTGGGGAAGACTGGGTGTGCGAGGGGTTCATGGCAGCAGAGCTGAGCTGAGAGCGGTAAGCAGGGACGAGGGAGTGCTGTAAAGGTTTCTCCTGAGATAAATGTGGAGGTGGTATGAGCTGGCACCCAGAAATGAAGCACTTTCTAAATGTGCGAAGTCATAAGACACCATGCGTGTTGTTTTAGCTAACCCGATGGATAAACCAAGCACTGGCTCACAGTTTCTACTCACACGTCTTTCCGATGCCAGTCTCATCAAGCCGTACGGTTCACAAGGCTGAAAATGAGCATGCTGAAACTGTGCTGCCTGCAAGGGTGACTGGGAGACGCAAGGGCACCATAATAACTGTCAGGGTTTGGCACATGTGCGATATCACAGTGCTGCCTGGAAGAGCTCTCGGTAGGGTGGTGGGCATCCCCCCGATGGCAGTGCCGCTGTGGCAGACAGCGGCAAAGGCAGGAGGGGTGGGAGGAGGTATGGGACTGTAAAGGACACAGAGAGGATGAGGAGGGGTCAGAGAAGCAGGAGTGACCCCTCGGGAGATGTGAGTTAGTGCAAACCTCAGTACTACTCACGATGAAGACAGTTGGCTGGAGCGGGTCTGAGACTTGAATTCATCCATTGCTGAGTCTTGCTTGTTTTTTCTTCATGCTAACACACAGTTAATTTTCTTGCTGACATGTCTAGGACGTGCTCAGTTGTAAATGTACTGCTCAGCTGGCTCAACCTGGCCCTTGACTTGTTCAGAGAGATGGTTGTAGCGATTTTAGCTGAGGAGTCATTGCTTCTGACAAAAATGGAATTTGGAAACGTGAGGAAGGTTGAAACATGGAGCTCTGCAGACAAACAGAAAAGACATAGCTATGTCTTCAGACTTCTCAAGGGATGCTAAGTTTAGGTGCCTTCATATGCTTGCTTCCTGATCTCTGTCAACAGTAGTTAGATTTCAAATTAAGTGCTGAAAAGCAACTGTGGCAGAAATTGCAGAAACAAAGTAGTAATTTTCTTTTCTGTTTTTAGTTGATAGATTTCCCTGACAGCGTGTGCATTCCTACCCTGTGTTGAGATGTATGTGAGGTAGTATTTCAGTATTGTCTGTCATTATTTTCTTGCCGCTAGAATTTGCAGCTCTTTCAAAAGAAAAGCTTTTTCAAAGGAGTTACATGTGTGAGCCAGTTTTCAGAATTATAAGAGCCAAACCTCTTTTGCTTTTCAAAACTGATATATCTTGTAGATGGATGATGTCCATCAGAAAATGCCCACTGGACATTTTGTGTAAAGGTGGTGGTTATTAATATGTATACCAAAAAAACATACTGATATGGATACCTACCCTGCTCTGTTCAGAAATATGGTGCTTCATCTACTTTTTCATGCAAATTGAACATGCTGGAAGAAACTGACTTTAGTGCAGATTTTGATCATAGATGCTAATGGCTGATAGATTCCATATCACATATTAAGCTAATTAAAGCAGCTTGTTTACATAAAGAGAAAACCCATTACAATTCTGTAGATCTCCTGAGACTTTCTTTGATGTTCCTGCACAAAGAAATGGAAGAAGTCTTTATTGTAGTGCAGGGGAAATACAAATAATGTAAATGCAATTGTTGTCATTACCAAAGTATTATTTCTCCTTTGAACTCAAGCTTTAGAGAAAGTCAAAAGCACTTCTTTTTTTTTGTGATTATTTTTTGTGTGCTCATATTTCACTTAGTTCAGGGATAAACAATTAATGCTGATGTAAAATTATAATAATGGAACAAATTAGCAATCATCCTTGTCTTGTTTAGCACCTTCAAAATGATTAAAACTGAGAAAACCTACTACTATCTTTTCAGTCATAAATCTGCACT